TCTAAATCTGGATGTCATGAAGTGGATGATGTTGGTGTATAAGCTTCAATGTTATTGTTTAATCAAATGATTCACTGTCTGTATGTATTTGTACTAATGTTAAATGTATCATAGTTGTTAATGACTTGTCTATTGGGTCATTGTCAAAGTGATTCAAACAACTGTGAAATTTTGATTAAAATTAATTATTGTTTATTAATATTTATTTGTTTTTCCAATATGATGTTTAGACAAGTGTAAAGTATGATATAATAATGTTAAATGATTATGGTAGGTATATCTGATGGTCTTATTGTTGGCGGGATCTATGTATCTATGAGTTTTAACTGTTTGAAAAAGTATATGTGTTCGAACTTCCATCCCATACAAACTTTCTCTTGAAGAAAAATAACTGTATAAAATTGAAAATATTATTTTTAAATATTAGATTTGAGGTTTAGACTATTCTATTCAATATGAGAGCCCTTATTGGATATTTGTTAATGGACTCGCATCTACAGTACGTTTCATAAGTTATGGCCACCCCCTGTTCAAACAGGTACGAGTTTGATATCTCCTACAAATATGGTTCAAGATTCTTATTCACTTCCAAATATAGTAGTCCACTTTTGCTCAAAAATTTCCATTTATAAATATTTTTCCAAAAATGGAATTAATATATCTTTATCATTCAAACGATATTTTTGTTAAAGTAATGAACATGTCCATTATTTATGCAATAGTAAAGAATGAATGAGTTCAAACATCAAACACTTTGTTGGAAGAGATACAGTACGTTTCATAAGTTATGGCCACCCCCTGAGCAAACAGATAGGTGATTGATATCTCTTCAATATTAAGAGATACCAAATGATATCTTATCTCTCTAAATAATAGACTCAATTATCTACTAATCTTGATTGAATTACTTATTGCTAGTTATATTTATTTACAAATAATTGAATGAGAGTGTTGAAATGATAAGTAGTGAACATGGCCATTATTTATGCAACGAAAATTGATCGAAGGTATCGGAACGATGAACTAGAATAATGACAAAGGAGGTTGTCAATATTTGGTCCACCATCCATTCGCTGTTATAATGTCCTCCATTCGTTGTGGCAAGGAGGCGTATAGGTTCTCAACAATGCTGTCATCCATTAGCTCCCATTGTTCATTGGCAAGGTCGGAAAGGACCACTCCAGGGTTCTTTGCCAGCTCTCTCTTGACTCTCTTCTTCAAGATCGCCCAAAGATTCTCTATAATGTTGATGTCTGGTGAATATGGGGGAATGAATAGGGTGGGTATCCTCTTCCTTCTCAAGTGGCTGGTGACATTTGTTGCTCTATGAATTGGACAGTTGTCCATCGCCAGTGTAAAGTCTGGGAGTTGGCCATGATAATATCGGATGGATCGAGAGTATGCATCATCAAGAATCTCCGTGTATTGAGTGTTTTCTAAATTGCCTTCAATCTCAGAGAGATATCCGACACCAGCACTCGTGACACATCCCCAGAAATTGACCTTGGTTCCGGGAAGTCTCCTGATGCCATGAACTCGACTGAATGTGTTGTTATCTTGTCTAGCCCACTCGTGTTGACGGTAGTTCTTGAAGTTGGACTCAATTGTGGTCTCATCACAGAATACTATCTGTTCCCATTGTTCCGCTGTCCAGTCTCGATGAGCCATAGCGAACTCGAGCCTTTGATCTGCGTTTACTTGCTTTAGATCGTGCTTCCTGCTTAAACTGCGATAGGTGAGACCTTCCTTTGCAGCGATACGAGATATTTGAGCCGTTGATATCTCTGTATCGTATCTCAGTTCAAGTTTGGCTTTCAACTCGTCCAAAGTGATGACCTCCTTCCTGACCAAAGCTTTGATGATCCTCCTTCTAAGTCTTCTTGAAAACTTTGAAGGGCGTCCCGATTTGAGACGGTCCTTGAAGTCTCCTCGCTCGCTGTGTCGTTGAATAGTCCTGCTCACAGTTGATCGGGAAATATTGTACATCTTTGATATTAATTTCTTTGAATATCCTCTCCTTCTGGCTCTCACGATTTTAGCTCTCTCTTCTTCTGTTAATGACATGATTAATTGTAATGTACATAAATAATATTCTATCTCTTCCAACAAAGTGTTTGATGTTTGAACTCATTCATTCTTTACTATTGCATAAATAATGGACATGTTCATTACTTTAACAAAAATATCGTTTGAATGATAAAGATATATTAATTCCATTTTTGGAAAAATATTCATAAATGGAAATTTTTGAGCAAAAGTGGACTACTATATTTGGAAGTGAATAAGAATCTTGAACCATATTTGTAGGAGATATCAAACTCGTACCTGTTTGAACAGGGGGTGGCCATAACTTATGAAACATACTGTAAGTAGGTAATGCTAGCAATCGATTGATACATACTCATAGTCTGTTTGATTGAATGTTGCTATTGCATTCTGGGCATTCGATAACTTCTGCTTCTTCTTTTCATTCTTCTCACAAATGACTCTGTCAACATTGTCCCAATCAATAAGACCTTTAGTCTCACTTCGGTGATCTGAACAGGATGTTAGACAATGAATCTTGGTAACTTTCAAACAGTTCGTAACATACGTATATCTAAGTGTCCCCACCCGTTGCTGGCTGATCTGCCAGACTTGTTAGAGTCGTACTCCTCGCTATGAGGGCAGTAGTGGCATTTAGCGAGTGCTGCGACACGGTCTAATGTGAAATGATCCCAAAAGCTTGAGTCATATTTGTTATCTCTTTTTTTTGGAGTTTTGGATGTTTGAGAAATGGAGGTTRTTGTTGACATTTATTCAAACAAAGTTATAGATATTATATTATTATTTTTTTGATTGAATGATACAAGTAAGAATTAWAAAAAACATTTATATTCGACGAGGGTGTAGTCTTCCCATGATGAGTCGTGGAATACACAATTATTCATTGTAATATAGATATTATCTGACCTATACTACCAAGATAAATAACTGAACTGTCACTTCAGTGAATTGTAATAGATACACCTGAATATTAACCTAATTAATGAATAGTTCAGTTACAGATCAAGGTTAATAACTATTCACCTGAACTTACGGAGCATTGCTCCCTCTCATCCAGGAGATGCTTGATTTGATCAATGTCAAGTTGGTGTTCTTGCCAACCTATAGCCCTGAGCTCAACATCATCGAACTGTTGTTCGCGATGATGAAGAGAGAGTGCCGAGATAAGAACATAACTGCATCCTTCCTCGACACAATCAAAAACGCATT